TATATATATATATATAAGTGTTGGTGAGGATGTGGGGAAATTGTAACCCTTAGGTGGTTATATTATTTAAAAAAAACCAGATAAGTGTTGGTGAGGATGTGGGGAAACTGGAACCCTTGCACACTGTTGGTGAAATGCAAACTGGTGCACCCCTTTGGAAAACAGTATGGAGGGTCTTCTAAAACAAAAACCAGAAGCCCCATGTGATCCAGCAATTCCACTTCTGGGTGTTTATTCAGAAGAGTTGAAAGCAGGATCTTGAAGAGAATTTGCCTTCCTATTTCAATGCAGCAGTATTTACAGTAGCCAAGATGTGGAAATAACCTGTTTGTTAATGGATGAACAGATAAAGAAAATGTGGTAAAGTCACACAGTGGAATATTACTCAGTCATAAAAAGAAAGAAATCCTGCAATATGTGATAACATGGATAAACCTGGGCATTATTCTGAGTGAAATGAACCATCACAGAAGGACAAATACTGCATGATTCCACCAATATGAAGTATTAAAATAGTCAAATTCATGGAGGCAGAGGGTAAAAGGGTGGTTGCCAGGGGTCTGGGGCGAGGGAATGGGGAGTTGCTAGTCAACGGGTACAAAGTATCAGTTCTGCAGAGATGTGCTGTACGAGGACACTGTATTGTATACTTAGACATTTGTTAAGGGGGTAGATCTCGCTTTAAATGTTCTCCCAAGAGTAAAAAGAACAGATGAAAAGCGATCACTAGGATAAGAGTTCAATGTTCTGAAGCTGGGATCTCACCTCGGCTGGCTTTGGGAGCAGAAGAGATGTTTTTTTCCCCTCATATGCTTATGCAGCGGGGCTTACCGACACACTCGTGTGCACTTCATAAAGTTGTATCAGGTATGCAAATCGGAAAATTATGTCACAGCTGAGGAAAAGATTCTGTTTATAAATGTCATGGTTCTCAATCTAAATGTCTCATTAAATACAGATTCCATATGTGGCGTCTACTACTTGGAGCCTTAGCTTTAAGAAACAGATATACTGTCTACTTTCTCAGAATAGGGAGGGCGGCTGGTATACTGTCTAGCATGTCCTTGGTCATGTAAAAGCAGGAAATGGCAGGACTTGTCTAAGTTCGTGCTGTTGACCCAGGCACCCCCTCATTCTGACTTTAAGCAGACCAAGGAAAAAGGGAGAAACAAATATGTAGCAAGATAATTTCATTTCATCCCCATGTTTCTAAAACTAGCCTCAAGAGTTGCTGAAATGAGGCAGAAGGTCATGTGCTGTCATCCTTCTGTCTCTGGACAGGAACTATTCCCCTTCCATGTCACCTCCCCTGCACACCCCAGACACCTTCCCGGCAGACTCCTGGGGGATGCCAGGCTCATAAATGCAGAGGAGCTGTTAGGCAGAAGAATAGAAATGAACAGGATGGAGAGAGAATTAGGGCCAATAAAGCCCATTAAAAGGGACTCAAAGAGTTAACCAGATAAAACTAGAGAGCCGGAAAAGACTCACAGAGTTATGAGTCCATCAGCTGAAGCTCCAAAGGCCAGGAGCAACTTGGCTTGGAATGTCCAAATATTCCCCAGATAAAGAAAAGTATCTGAGCATGACCCACGTCTTCATTGCATCAATTAGATCATGGCATTGTAAGATCTACTTTAACCTGCTAAAAGGCCCAGCTTATTCTTTAACTTAACCTCTATGCTGTTTTTTCCTCCTCCAGCCCCTAATCAAGTAATTTGGAACCTGGGCAGGAGACAAGCATCATGATTAATTTAGCAAACAAGCCGAGCTATAAAGAGCATAGTACAAACAGGAAAGATTCCATCTTAAAGCTAACATTGCATTCTAAAACCCAGGGAGTTAAGAAGTAAGATTCTTAACATATTCTTCAGCAAACAGACAATAACTCAGCCCACCTTGGGGACAGGGCAGGCCGTCTTGATTTATATGTTCCCAGAGGGAAGCTGTTACCCTGGGGAGGAACTGGATCAGTAAATTTCTTGTGTTAAGTTACCTGGAGGACTGATAAGAGATGTAATGTCTCCATAGAAGATAAACATCTTGAGACCACTTGACAAGCCCACACCCCTAGCCCTTTGTCACAGTCCTGACAATTCCTTAAAAGAGGGGGAACCCCCAATCTTTCAGTGTGCCTCTTCTCTGAGGTGACCCACACTCCCCTTTTTCCGAGTGTGCACCTTTTTGCCTTAAATAAAACTGTTTCTCAACCTTTCAGGGTGCACCTCTCTCTGAGGTCGCCTGCACATTCTCTCTCTTTAAATAAAATTCAAACTTTTCAGGGAGGCTCTCCTCCCTGAAATTGCCTGCACTTTATCTCTTTAAGTGTGTAACTAAAGTGTGTAAATAAAACTTTTACTGTGCTTCACTACTGCATCTCTGCCCTTCAATTCCTTGTTGTGACGGGGACAAGAACCGGGGAAAATAAACAATGCCTGCCTAACAGGTACTTTACCTGAGGCTCTCTGGAGGGTGCTTTTGTCCCTCCCTCTGGGCCCAGACACACTCCTGACCTCAGAGGGCATTTGAACATATCAGTGCAAGAAGCCCTCTATACACCCCTGCCACGTGGCTGGCTAGCTGACTTGCATGCCTTCATGAATGGGGAGTTCATCACTCCGAGCCACCAATCTGTTTTTTTCCAGAAGCAACAATAATGATAATGCTCCCAAATCTGCACCCCCTCACCCCACCCCACTCCCTGTCCTTAAATTCCTGGATTTTACCTTCTGGAGTTCCTGGGAGAGAACAGATGGCTGTGTCCGTCAGAGGGTCAGGGCACCTTGGGGAAGACCTTGTCCTCCAATTTCCCTGCCCACCTCAGCTCAGTCCCCAGAAAATGTTTTCTTTAAAGCTTTGAGGTTTCCTCAGGCCCAAATCACATGTTGAAGCCCCGCCCCCAGCCAAGACTACTGTTACTTAAATCCTCTCAACGCCTCTCACTCACAACTTCCTAACACCGATTTGTTAATCAATATGACTTTTAGGTGCATCTAGGGATTGGTAATCATGCTGATAGGCAGCATTTATTAAGGGGTAATGTGCTGGCTGCTGCACTGAACACTATGCATGGAGTATTTCTGTCCCATGTTACAAATGAGGATGTTGGGGGTCCGATAATGTGGCTGCTCAATGGCACAGGGCTGGGGGAGGTGGCACAGCTGGGGTTGGGACCTGGGCATCCGCCCCTGGCCCTGAGCCATCCAAACGCTGACCCACCGCACCCCACTCCTCCCTCTGGTTCCCCCATGTGGGTGGGGACACTCACCGCATTGAGACCACAGAGCTGGTAGCAGGCCATGGTGATGACCACAGTGATGACCTGCCAGCGGACGAAGGGGCTCCTGAGCAGCTCCAGCACCGACGCCAGGCGGATGTTCCTCTGCACACGGCTCTCGGCCAGGACCTCCTCCACCTCTTGGGAGACATCCTCTTTCCCCAAGAAAGTTCGGAAGGCTGCCAACAGAGATGAGCATGGACTTTCACCAGGGGTTAGGACGTCCGCTGTGTCTAATGCTGGGCCCCACAGGGATCATCCCACCACCCAGACACACCCTTTGTCAGGGACGGAGCTGGCAGGGGCCTTGAAGCCATGTAATCTCAAGCCCTTGTTTAAAAATAGAGAGATGCAATGAGTTGCCCAACATCAAGATGGCTAAGAGAAGAGCCAGGAAAGAACCAGGGCTTCCCGGTCACCCCCACAGCAAAGCAGCGCATGCCCAGGACTCCAATTCTGTCTCTACCACTGGGTAGACAAATAGTATCCACATTCGTCCACTGTAATCATTTCTGCCTCACATGGCTGCTGTCAAACTGCATGATGTAATATGCACTAAACTCCACCTCAGAGATTCACATGCAGTGGGGACTCATTCAATGAATATTCATTGAGCACCTTCTATTTGCCTGGCCCTGAGCAGTTACCCTTTTTGGAAGTGTCTGGATGGAGGTGACATTGCTACTTGGCCAGGGTGTCTGGGTATAGATTCTATCATTGGAAGGAAGATGGAACTAAATGCCTCCAGGACTTTTCCATGTGACCCTCTGAAATACAGAAATCTTGGGGAGAAATATTCTCAAAGAGCTAATCTTCCCAAGGATTTAAATTCACCATGTAACTTATGCCTTATTTTCCAGCCTGAATATTGCAAATTTCTAGCCTCCGCAAACCCATCATTTTTTACCAAGCCCTTCATTGTGTAAGCCTCTGCAGATATACTCACGAACTTGGGCTGACTGATTAGACCCCTGAGATCATAATAATCAGATCATGGGAGATGCTTTTAGAACTTAGATTTAAATATTTGGTGCTCTGATATTTATCCTCCTACAGGGAAAGGTGGCTATGGAGATGGCACCTATGGACAGTCCATTCCAGTGGGTGACATCCTTAAAAACACTTGTCTTCACCACAGGGCATGTGAAATTATTCTTCTTAAATAGTGAAAAAAAAAAAAAAAGCTGTAAAACTTGCTCCAAATTCTCCAAGAAGCAAACCCACAAAGGCTCTGGGGTGTTATTTCCAGTAGCATACATGCACTAAATCATTGTATTTCTAATACTTTCTCAAAGTTCAAAGTGCAACATTCATGTGATAAAGTCATCCTAGAATTTTAGGGCAAGAACATTTTTCTCTTTCCTCCACTCATGCTTTCCATGTAAAATGAACTTTATAGTCTTTTTTTTTTTTTCCTTTTTCACCTTGGCTGCCAGGAAGCTCTTAGTTAAATTCAGTGCCCAGCTCTTATTTTCTGGAACAAAAATCTCTCTTCTTTTTCTTAAAAGTGTGATCTCCTTCCTCTTTCAAAGCATCAGTGCAATTTCCTGTTGTACATGTGCCCATAAAAATAGTTTTTTTCTGCTTGCCCCACACACCTTATGTTTCTTGTGACTAGGTGAAGAAGGGTATCTGGTGAAGAAGAGCATCATAGCAGACATGGAGATGCACAACTCAGATCCCTTTCCAGAAAGGACTTACTAATCCAAAGAGATGGGGATTTCAGGCTGTTGGGGGTTGGGGGATGGCTCTGGGCAGGGAAAAAAAGGGTCACCTCACACATCCTGGGACTCAGGAGGAGCAAGAACATTTGTTTCTTTCCTCTCTCTGGAATATTCTTTTGACCTTTGTGCACCTGGCTCCCCTCTTTGTTCTTATAGCCTCAGCTCAGATACCACCTCCTCCAGGAAGCCTTCCCTGATTTCCCTCCTGGCTGGAAGTCAGGGAGAAGCAGGCCAAGATGAGGCAGCTGTCAGTGGGACACAGACAGATAGAGTTCAAGGCCCCTGTAAGTTTCAAGGCCCTGGTAAGTTGCAGTCAGGAGGGACACAGGGTCAAGGCTTCATAGTAAACAAGAAGCCACAACCTGGACATCTGGAAAATACAGCCTGAAAAACAAGAGAGCTTTTCCTTTTGAACCCAGCTTGGCCCCAGCAACAAGCCCCTTCCCCCTGCACCCCCCACCAGTCATGAAAACTTCTCCCTGCTTATAAGCCCTAGACACTGCCGTCCTGATGGTATCCTCCCTTGGAGCCCCTCCAGATTAGCAGGATTCCCTTTCTTTTCACTCCTCATTAAAAGCTTTACTGGTGGCTCTGAACTCTGATCTGCTGGCTTCATTGCTCGTCACCTCTGAGACAAGATCTGGGAAAAACAGCATCTCAGCTGCTAACAAAGGAAGGCCTGGAATGCCTGCAGGAGAGGAAGTTCCTGCACACAGGTCTTACTTTGCCACCAAGCCCCACCGGTTCCACTTTCTCAGTCCCCAGGTCCCATCCCAGGGAGGCCTAGGCGTCTCCCTGGGGGGCTCCTTGCTCCTGTCTCCATCCTCTGAGATGACCGCTCTCCTACAGTCATGCCTTTATTGGCCTGGCCCCTGCCAGCAGGACCCAGTCCAAAATCACTCTGCTGCACAGAGCCCCCTGCCCACAACCCAGGCTTCCCCTTAAGTGGCCTCTTCCTCATCTGACCTCTAAGACATGCCTCTGTGCCTGGCACACGCTGCTCCTCTGCCCAGAACACTCTGCAGCTGGAACATTCCTTCCTCAGAACCCGCTCAGCAACCATGTCCCTGGAAGCCTTTCTGACCCAGGTCATGGCTAGTCACCCTGTCATCAGGACGCTTTCACTCCTGGTGGTGACAGTGGGTCCACGCACCTGCCATACCCACCCAGTGACACCCCCTGAGCGGGGGCTATCTGCTATAGTGCAGGGAGGGGGCAGGGTGTGGGCTGTGGAGCCAGAGTGCGCTTTGCACCTGTGCCTGCCCCTCCCGTGTGACCCCAGCCAGGTTACTGGTGCTCTCTGAGCTGCACTTCCCTGGCACAGAATTCATAAAACCTACATCTGTGGTTGTTCCAGAGAATGAAAACAACATATGTGAAGTGCTTGGCACGCAAATGGTGTCCTATAAACAGTGACTGTTATTGCTATCATATTTTATTTCTTCCCTGTAAAGCCTGATATCTAGCGTGTATTCAACTGATGTGTTTTGAATGAAGAGTAAAATCGGGGCTCAGGTGGTGGGAGGGAGGAGCATGTTATAAACAGAGAAGTGGGGGCTGCTGCTGAGTGGACTGGAGCAGGGAAAGATTATATACTAAGGATCAACAAAATTAAATCAGTGGGGGAACGAGTATCTGAGTAGCCTCCTCCGCACTGTTCCGAGAGCAGTGTGGTTGACAAACGGCAGGCTCCCTGTGGCCCTTGGCCACCCTACAGCACAGCAGCAGTGACAGATCTGATGCAGTTGGGGGCGCCTGCACACAAGCTGCCAGGGGACTGAAAATGTGCTCACACGCCTCACGTGGGGGCTGGCAGCTCCTTCCTGGGCCGGAGACACCTCCCGGCATCAGGCCCCCGCAGGTGCCCCCAGTACGAGGAAATGCTCTGTTCAAGACCACCCCATGGCACCTGGTCGGACAAGGCATCCCGTGGGGCAGGAAGGGGCCGAGCGGCTTCCTGTCGGTGGCTTCCTTGGTAAAGTCTAATGCCCTCTTTCCTCCAGAGATCACACTCCTATGGTCTAGTGGAGGCATGGCTTTGAATCCTCCTCAGCCTCAGTCTTGAGGCCCACTGAGGCCCGGCCCCTGCTTGCAGTCTGGGATGATTGGGGAGAAACGCTAAGGCTTTGCAAGGCCCCACCAACTAGCTGCCAATTGAGTTCCAGGGACCCCAGGCTGACGCTCAGCTCTGACAAGCTGTACGAATACACAGCCCTAAGGGAGAAAGTGCGGGCCGTTTAAAGGGACAGTCAGGACCGGTGGACAGAAATCACGGCCCCATTCAGAACCAGGTCTCAGCACCTGCTGATGCTCCGGGCACTGTGCCAAGGGAAGGGGCTGCAGAAACAAGAGCTACAGCACCGGCCAGGCGGTGTTCCCATCACACAGTCACATCTTGTTTCCTAATGTGCATTTTGTGGAATTCCAGTCCCTGCAGAGACTGCAGGGAAATAAGTTTTCTTGGTCGAGAAGTTCAGGAACATTGCATGCTCTATCTCTTGATGGTTTAAACTTCACATTAGAATAGTAAACTTTCTGTTAAGTCTTGAAGCAAAGAGACCCATTTAATTTCATTTTGCTCCACATTTCCTCAATATGTCTCTGGAGCACATACTAACAACCTGCAGAAGTCCATCAGGAAATGTCATTCTAACCTGATGTGGCGTGTGTCTCAGGGGCAGTAAATCCAGGATGTCCTGGTGGCCTGGAGGGGGCATCCCAGGGCATTGAGCTGAGAGTGGAGGCAAATACCACCAGGTTTCTTGCCATTTCTTTTAGGGTGCATCCTAAGAAAGCAGAAAGAGCCTGTGGCAGGCAGAATAATGACCTCCAAATAAATTCACATTCCCAGAACCTGTGAGTATGTTAGTGTGCGTGGCCAAGGGGACTTCGCAGATGGGATTGTTAAAGATCCTGAGATGGGGAGGCGATTCTGGATTATCCAGGAGGTCCTAATCTTGCCACAAGGATCCTTATAAGAGGGAGGCAGGAGGTCAGAGAGGAGGTGATGATGGAGACAGGGGTTGGAGGGATACACTTTAGAGATGTAGAAGGGGCCAGCAGCCCAGCAACAAGGGCGCCTCTGGAAGCTGGAAGAGGTGAGGAAGGATTTTCCCCTTGAACCTGCAGAAGGAAAGAGCCCTGTGACACCTTGATTTTAGCCAGTGAGACCCACGTTGGACTCTGACCTCCAGAACTGTAGGATAATATATTTGTGTTGTTTTAAGCCACTAAGTTTGTGGCAATTTGTTAGAGGGGCCACAGGAATGTAATACAGAGCCACTGAAATTAAGCAGCTGTCGGCTCTAACCCTCCCCCACCACTCGTGATGGGAGGAGCGCATCTCTGGCCTCTCAGGACTCAGAGCTCTCCTCTGTAAGGTGGCACCGAGGTCACCTGCATCTCCAGAGCATCATGCCAGCTACCTGGGGCAAGGTATGCAGAGCTCCAGGGCC